TTGAAAGAGAACAAGCAGGGGCAGAGGGAGAAGCAGATTCTCTGCTGAGCAGAGAGCCCCAACACGGGGCTGGATCCCAGGACCCTCAGATCGTGACCTGAGCTGAAGGCAGATGCTCAACCCACTGAGCCACCCAGGTATCCCTTTAAATTATCTGTCTATCTCTCTATCTATTTATAGCAAGCTCCATGCCCAGTGTGAGGCTTGAACTTACAACCCTGTGATCAGTTGTCACTGCTCCACCAACTAGGCACTCCTCTTCCTTCCACTCGGTTTTGTTGTGAGCCTAAAACTCTAAAAACAGAATCTATTTCTTTTAAAAGTCAATTTTTAAATGTGTGTGCAGGGGGAGATGTGTCTCCATGAGCCGCAGCCAGCAGTCTCCCCACTACCCTCTTTTAGCGGCTCACCGACAGCTGTGCTGTCATCCCCATCGCCAACCTCTTTCAATGATTCACCCGCTCCCAATGATTATAATCTTTTTTTTTCCTTGATTTTTTTAAACATAATCTCTACGTGGGACTCCAACTCACAACCCCAAGATCTAAGAGTTGTATGCTCTACCAACTGAGCCAGCCCGGCACAACCCCGCCCCCCCCCCCATGCTTCTAATCTTAAATGTCGCCTGCAACTTGCTCCCCATCTCTTGGCCCGCCTCTATAAAGCCACGAACACGCGACTGCTGGCAGGGAACTATGGCCAGGGGGACGCAGCCAGCACCCCAGGGTGAGCGCGTACTCCCCGGACACCGAAAGACCTCGAAATCTCAGCAAAGCAATTTCCTGCTACTCGCAAAGAACCTACAAGATCCCAGGAGGCAGGAGAGAGTCACAGCCTCTTTGGACCTCACCCAGCCCCGGCCTACCCAGCTTGGGGGCACAGTACTTCCCTCTGAGGTCCAGAGCTGCCTCCCTGGTAAGACGTAATGGCCCAGCTCTGTGACTCCTCGATGTTGCCCCAAAACCAGGGACCAAAAATACACTAGTCCAGGGTCCTAGACTCATTTTCGACTGCTGTAGAACACGTTACCACGAATGCAGACGTCGACAGCCGCACGAGGTTATGATCTCACAGTTTCCATGGGTCATGAGGCCGGCCACGTTTTATCTGGGTTCGCTCTCAGGGCCTCAGCCTGCAATCCAGGCCAGGCTGCGGCCTTCTCTGAGGTTCAGGGTTGTTGCCCGAACTCAGCTCCTCTTGGCTGGAGTTCTTGGCTCCTACAGGCCACTCTCAATCCCAGCCACGTGGCTCCCTCCACGGGGGCCATCCTCTGGTTTCACTTTCTCGGGGAGGGCTCGCCTGATTAGGTCAGGACCACCTGATCCCTCCTGTGATTAAACTCAAAGTCAATTTATTAGCGATCTTGTTACAGGAGAGATGTCCCCCCCCCCCGCCCCCGCCACCCGCCATATCTGCAGGTTCTACCCACACCCGAGGGGATTCTGTGTGTGCACAGCAGAGGGTAGGAATCCTGGTAGCCATCCTCAGGCTCCGCCTATCACGCAGAAAGGCCCACAGGACTGAAAACCAATCACTGCAAACAACTGCCACCAAAAAAAGAAAGGAAGGAAACGGACACCGCGCAGAGATTCTGAAAGCAAGTCCTGAAAAAGACCCTCCAGAGGCGAGTGCTGTGGACTTTGTGCCCAGGTTATTGCCCAGCGCTCAGACCCAAGAGCAGCAGAAAATGGAAGGAGTTCTGCTAAACCGCCCAGCCCAGCCAATCATCCACGAACCGCCCCAAGAGGAAGCAGGGGGCTGTACCGTCCTGTCCCACATGGCTGCTGGGACAAATTACCCCACAGCTCAGCGGCTTCCACCAACACGAATCTGTTATGGTAACGGTTCAAAAGGTCAGAATTCCAGAGCCAGTGGCTCTGGGCTGAGGTCAAGGTGACGGGCAGCGCTGGCGATGCAGCAAAGCTCTTGGCACAAGCCGCTTCCACGTCTCCTGCCGCCTCTTAAGGGTGGCTGGGAGTCCACCCATGGCTCATGCCCGCGGCGCTCCTGTCTCTGCTTCTGCAGCCGCATCGCCTCCCCCTCTTCTGTGGTAGAACCTTCTGCCTCCCTCTCACCGGTACCTTTGTGATCGATGGGTTCATTTTGAGGCAAAATACGGTTAAGTCCCTCCTTTCTCACGAACCTGTTAGGTTGTCATCTGAACGGTGAGGTTGTACCATGAGCTCTTCTCTATGCCCGATGGATCCCACGCTCCCTCCTGAGCCGGAACGTTCTGTCCTTCCTGCCTTCACAGGATCCCCCAGGTATGGAACCTGCTATTCCCATGACTCCAAGATGTCCTAAAACGTTTATTTCTATTTCCCTGGGGATATGCCGTGGTGGGGGCAGGTAGCTGGAAGTGGGGTGAATCCTGTGCTGCCCCTTCCTAACTCGCTCCACTGTTTTTCGGGTTCTGAAGCCCAAGATATCTAAATGGCGATCACAATGGAACAGGGGGAATCACCTGCCCTCGATGGAATCCTGAAACGAAGTTTTTAGTTTTGGCTTTTCTACGTGATAAAGTAGAGGCCACACAACTTCGAAGAGAAAATGCCCTTTAGCTCAGACTTGCTATTTCCACGCAAGAACGTCTGTGCTCAAGGTCTGCGGACCCGGTGTAATGGGTCACTGGAAGGTTCTCCCGTTGTTACGCCCACGGCCACGGCTCTCCCGGGAGACTCAGCTGCGTCTCCTTGATGACAGCAAAGTGAAGAAGCATCTTCCTCCCTTAAGCAAGCTTTGATTAGCACGACAGGGCTGGCTCTTCCGGGATTTGGTGACCTGGTCACCACAGGTGACCACAGGGTATGGCTCTTCCTGGTTCTTTCTGACCATTAGAGGTACTACGAGGAGCAGCAGGAGGCCAGGCAGGAGGGGGAGGCGGGGAAGCATCCGGTCATCCTCGCTCCATCTGGCGAAACTGCGGAGAAGGCCCTGCTGCCCATCGGGATACGCGCTTGGAAAAAGCACTGGTCCGTGTCCTCGCGTTCACTCACGTCCTGGGACAGGCGTCTTCCACTGCTGTTCTGTCTGAGCTCCTGAAACTGCAGCCTTCCTCCTCCAGGGGGAAATACAACACCCTCCTCGTGTCCGCGTTCCAGAGATGGGATTTACTCCTCCGGGCTCATCGCCCCCGTACTCGGCGTCCTGGCTTCCGGCCGGACCCTCCACTTACCCCGCGGGCACACGGTGAGCCTCCCGCGCACCTGGGAGCCACCGCCGCTCTCCCGGAGCGCACTGTGGACCTGAAAAGCGCTGACCTTCGATATCCTGATCTCGTCACTTATGTTAAAGGGTCCCACCAACAGCCCAAGCAACACTGGTCTCCAGCGTTTTTGCTGTGTTTTCTCAGCTCCAGACGGGGAAGTTCTCTCCCGCGCTTGTGATGCTCCGTACAGGGGCTGAACGTGTTCTGTTGCTTCTCAAAAATCTTTTAATATTTTTATTTATTCTCCCTTGCTCCTGGGGCTACCGACAAGCATGAGCATCTGTCGAAACAGACACTTTCTTACCTCTGGACAAGCGGGAGTGTCTAAAGGGGCTTCTGTCATGCTCATTTCTAGGTGTGGCAGGTGTCCTGCTCGCACCCGAAAAAAATGTGTCGTTCACTCAAAACAGGATACTGCTACGTTTCAAGAGCTTTGGCTTAAAAAAAAAAAAAAAAACAAACAAACAAACAGCGAAAGCAGAGGCAAACTTTTTCTAGGCCATTCCTTTTGCTAGCAGGGTCTTCTTCCAAGTCCTTCTGCTGCGGCTTTCCTCTGAAGATGCCCTCGCCCCAATCAAAAAGTAATCACAGGGTGTCTTGTGTACCCCTGTACTATTTGACATGCCCCAGATGGCCACTTGGTGGCGCCAAAAGGTCCACTCTCTTCCGCCTGTTGAGGTGGGTACTGACATAGGGAACTTTTTTGAGTAAAGGGAGGGGCACGAAGCTAGAAGGGGAATACCCAGACCAGAAGGGCAGCTGATCCTTGCCTCGATGGCCATTTGATAATTGCCATTTTATTCAGATGGAGAAAGGGTGGGGATCGAGAAACGATTTGAGGGGCACCTGGGTGGCTCCGTAGGCTAAGGGTCTGCCCTTGGTTCAGGTCATGATCCTGGGGCCCTGGGATTGAGCCCTGCATCTCGCTCCTTGCTCAGCAGGGAGTCGGCTTCTTCCTGCCCCTCCCCCTACTCCTACTTGTACTCTCTTTCTCTCTCCCTCCCTCTCACTCTCAAATACATAAATAAAATCTTACAAAACAAATAAATAAAAATGATTTAGTTATCCTGGGCACTGCCTGGGGACGGACAGACGCATGCACACATTTGTGTGTCAAAGTCATTGCCACAGGGCTCCTACAGACATTTTATTTCCAAAGTTGGTCATCTTTGTCCACTAAGCATGAAGGGACTCAGGCATTTCAGACCAGGCTGTAAAGGAACTTTGAAAAGCTACAAAAGCAAATCAAAACTACAGTCAGGGGCTGCCTAGGTGGCTCAATGGGTTAAGCCTCTGCCTTCAGCTCAGGTCATGATCTCAGGGTCCTGGGATCGAGTCCCACATCGGGCTCTCTGCTAGGCAGGGAGCCTGCTTCCTCCTCTCTCTCTCTCTCTACTTGTGATCTCTCTCTGTCAAATAAATAAAATCTTTAAAAAAAAAAAAAACTACAGTCAGGTACCATTCTTCCATCCAACTGGAAAAAACTGGGTACAGACAGTGCTGGTGGGGACTGGAGAACCAAGCTCTCTCCCACGTTGTAGGGAGAATCTAAATTGGAGCCCTATCTGTGGAGGACAGTTTGGCAAAAGGAGCCAAATCACAAACCTGCATTCCATTTCTTAGGAATGCACCCTACCTACGAATATGTTTGCACATGTGAAGGTTACACGGGAGCACGGTTTTTTCTAAGACTGGAAAAAACACTTAAATAATAGGAAGCATGAAATTAGGAACATCCACATAATGGAACACTGTGCAGTAGCAAAGAGGGAGAGGTCCAGGGAAGCCCCACCCAAAACCAGGGCCCAGGTCCCCAGTTTGTTCACCCCTAGTGAGGCCCTCCAGCCGTCAGTAATGGCTTGCTCCAGCTCCTCCCAGGTGACCATGGTGACTTCTTCTCCAACAGGCATCAAACTCATCTTCCGGCCCACGAGGTCCTGACGGTGACAGAAAACATGCAGGCAGACAGACACACAAACACCCCAAGTTTAATCCCAGAAAGCTTTAGGAATAGAACTGAGCTAACAGAATCCACAGCCCTAGTCCCAAGGCAACATCACTGTCCTTCAAGTGACCAGTGAGTCCTGGGCAGCCAGTTTCCTGTCCCCTGAGGACCTCTGGGGGAACGCTGGGCTGGGATGGGAAGGATTTTCCCCCCATCCAGGGGCAGCGCCCACAGGGGCAGAGGGCCTCATCCTACTTCGGAGGGACACAGACATCTGGGGTGGGAGCCTGGACATCCTCCCCTACTCCCCCTTGAGGGCCCTTTGTCACAGAACTCGCCCATATTACCAGGAATTCATCCCGTTCTCTGACTATCTTCTCTAGAGCATCGATTCGCTGGACGATTGTCTGGAAGAAGAGTTCAGAGATGGAGGATCAAATCAGCCCCTCCTGTGGACCCTACACCCACGCACACGTGCATAGATACGCATGCGCGCACACGCACATGCGCACACGTATACATGCACTCCTAGAAAAGAAAGGAGGTGTGTGGATCTTACAGGAGAGGGCGGTAGAGACAGGACCACTGAGTCAGCTAAATCGTTTTCTTTCCAGCCACGAAGAGGCAGGCAAGTGAGGTGTGGAGGTCCTGGGGGACACTGTGCCAAGAGCAAATGCAAGCACAGGGGTGGGAACCTTTGGTCCTGGATTCACTTCTCCTCCCCTCGAACAGAACATTCCCGCACTGCAGAATGATGCTGACTTTGCCCCTCAAGGACAAAAATGATCCGGCGCTTCAAGGCGTCTGAATGGCTGTGTGGTTTGAAGAGAAAAGCGTCCCCAAAGAACCGAAACAAATTGCTAAAACTTAAGTTGTTCTTTATGACCCTTGCAAAGCTCCAGAATGTAGGAATCTAAAGGTGAAACAAGCCTTTGGTCTGAAAAAAAACATCTAAAAGCCCCAAAACACCACATTTCAAAAAGAAAAGCTTTCCAGAGCAACGGTGAGTCCCGCTTGGGCCTCAGGCCTGGAATGAGGGGCAGAATAGGGTCAGGGGCCCTGAGGCCTCCCTGAGCCTCTCCCTGGGCGTCTTCTAACTGCCCCTCCTCCTCCTTCCAGCGCTAAATCCCTGGGCGGCTTCCGGAGGGCCTGAAATAGGAGCACTGCCTAGTACTTTGGGCCCCTACTATCCATCTGAGGGGGGTCCTAGATCTTTCTCTGAGAGAACAAAGATCCGAGTGAAGGTGTGGCTGCCGAGCACCTGCTGGTGTGACCGCAGAGCTCTCTCCATCCCAGCCCGCCCTCCTGGGCTCAGCTCTGTCTTTCAACACCCACCACCCCACTCCTTTATTCTTGTTTAAAAGAAATCCGCTCGAAGAATATTCTGAGAAGTTGTCAGCTCCCTCTCCTCCCCCCATCCCCGACCCGGTTCGGATCCGTGGGGGTCTGAGAAGGGGCAGTGGAGTGGCGAGGACAGGCCCTGCATGGGAAGGGACGACTCCGCGATCCTCGAGGTGGGGTCCCCGCCGTCCTCACCGCTGGGAGCTCCTCCGCCTTTTCCTGGGCTTCTTTGAGGGTTTTCACGTCCTCCACGACGTCGCGCAGCAGCTCCATGGCCTGCAAGGTGGGGGCGCGGCGGTTCGGAGGACTGCCCGCCCGCGCCTCCCTTCCAGCCCCGGAGCCGACGGTGGGCCCGGGCCCCCCAAGCCCCGCCCCAAGCCCCGCCCCCAAGCCCCGCCCCGCGCCGCGCTCACCTGGGAGACCTGGGAGACCGTGGCCCGCTCGCCCTTCGCGATTTTCAACGACCCTGCTCGTGCCCTGGCCGGCGTCAGCTGGGCGGTCTCCTCCAGCCAGTCCCGGGCGTCCAGCTCGCTGATGGGAGCCGTAAGGTGCTGCACGTGGCTCACGATGCCCTGCACCTGGCTCGTGACGGTCTTGAGCTTCCTGCTGAGGTCCTGGACCTGCCCGCCCAGGCCCTTCACCTGGCTCTCGAGCGTCGCCGCGGCCGTCGGTGGCTTGGTCAGGCCGCCGCGCGGCTTCTCTTTGGACGCAGCCAGCTGCGGGGCGCTGAGCGCGGCCTGCGGGAGCTCCAAGGTGCGGCTCGTCTCCGGCGACGGCAACGGCGACTGGAAGTCGATGCGCACCTCCTGCAGGTTGAGGCTCCGGAGCATGGCCACGATGAGCGTGTGCAGGGCCGTGAAGTTGACGGCGCCCACCTCCGGGGTGCCGATGGCCAAGTCCGCCAGCTCCCGGAGGGAGACCATGGTGGTGGCCGCCGTCGCGGGCGGCATCGTGCGCCCTCTCAGCAGCGGTCCGCGCCCTCGGCTGGCCAGGCGGCCATGTCCCCCTCACTGCCCACTGCGCCCCCGGGCGCTGTCCAGGGCATCAGTCACTGGAGGACGGAGGCGAAGCGCCTGGCCGCCGGGCTTCCCACCCTCCGCTCCTGGGGACCCGCGCCCGCCTCCCCAGCGGGGTCCGGACAGCCGCCAACCCTCCGCCGTCCAGTCGTCCGCTCTCCGAGCTACACCCTCCCCTTGCGCCGGCTGCGGCCAGCGGACGTTTGGAACCGAACGGACGGCCCGGTTCACTGCCCCGTGGTGCGGGGCCCCGCGCACGCGAGGGTTCTGACACCGTCCAGCGGGCACCCCGCCATGCGGGACCCGCCCATATGCGAAGTCACACACCCCCTCCCAACTTGCAAGGGGATCCTATCTTATCCGGGTCTGGGGAAGCCTTGGGCATACCCCAAGGCACCACTGTTACTATAAGTAAACGTTCCCAAAGGGGCTATGAGGCTGTGTCAAGGGACTGCTATGGGAACTCAGCAGTTTGGGAAGGGGAGGGGTCCTGTGGCTCACCTAAGTTGCAGCCCTCACTTAACCTAGGAAGGCCTCCCATGCACTCAGCCATTAAGAACGGACAGATTTAAGGCACACCATGTGTGTCCTTAGCTCGTTCTATTACTCAGGGCAGTGGCACATGTCTTAAGGGATGCAGTCCTGAGATCTTGGCTTTTTGGGGACAGCTCTCCTCTCATTTTGCTTCATCAGAAAGGAGGGTAACTTGGAAAAGACCGCTCGCCATCCAGGCAGCTCCAATCAGCCACCACACGACAGACCTTCACTGAGCCACCCTGGCCTAGTTTATCTCGAAACAGACTCATCTGGTCAAGTGCCAGCATTTCAGCCCATCACAAGCCAGGATTAGACAGGACTAGAGGAATCTGGTGCTCTCAGCAACTGGGGCTTGACTTCCCCACACCAGGTTTTTCCAGAAAATGTGAAATGTCAATGTTTACATTCAGGAAAGCTAAGGAAAACCTGAGCACAAGTCTGTACCATGGACTCCTATTTTAACTACTTCTCAAATTCAAATTTTTAGTCTGAGCTGGTAAAATGTAACTGAAACCCTTCATGCCTCTCGTCCCCAGGTGTTGCCTGGGAGTGGAGTTAAATACCAGTCTAGAACCTACAGGAAGGTTAACACCCAAGGATTCTTTTTCACCGTCATAGCCCCAGCACCTGACACTCAGTGGGGGCCTCCCGCTTCCTGAAACCATCAAAAGAACAAATTGTTAGCAGCTTTGTGCACTTATGTTTTCACCCTATAAAACAGAAGTCTGGGTCACCAAATTAAAGCCTTGTGATGGGGCTTCCCCTGTCCTAGAGGGTGTGGAACGTGAGCTTCTCGATTCTAAGCTGTGACTTTCCAGAAGGATGTTACCCCTGCTACCACTGGCCAGAATCTCGGCTCCCTGAGTCCTCATAGTTTCATCTGCAGATCCCTGAGACTTGGCATCATGCCAGACACAGGTTAGGACCCACTAAATGCCCATGGAAGGGCTGTATATGAATATATTCTAATTCTAATCCCAGGAAATATATTCTATGAAGTAAGTACATATAAACACCTCTGTTCTTACAGACACAGGAAAATAAACATCAACTGGATGTATACATGGAATTTTGGAGTTGAAAAGATCTCCCTCAGCTGTCAGTTCCAAGCCTCCCTTTTTAGATCTCATGAGACCCAGAAAGGACTAGTCATCTTCAGGGTCTTACAAATAAGAACCAGGTCTCCTGAGTAACAGTCCACAGCTCCGCCTCCCCCACCATGCTGCTATCTGATAATTGAGTTCTTGCTCCAAATTCCCCTACTTGGACTATTAACAGAAGGCAACTTGTGTGCTTGAAAAAGCTAACGTGCTTGAAGTCTTGATTGTGGCTTGGGAACTTTTCAAGTCATTAGGAAAGGGATAAAAATGTCAAGGAAATGTCCCTGCAGAGAAAGACAATTGTACAAAGAAGCGGATTGTCCTTTACTATCCCTCAGGAACAGAACCAATTCCAGCTCATTGCCCAACAGACAGACTCTGTCCTTCCCATTACATTCAGTCCTGCCCAGAGCAGGCTGAAGGTCTAAAAGACCTCCCTGACAGATGTGTTACAATATAGAGTAATTTTAATTGCTGGTTAGGAAGACCATGAGCAGTCCTGAGAAATGCCATCCACACTGTCATCTATCACACAAGAAAAGTATAATTTGTTCTGTTTTTTTTTTTAAGATTTTATTTATTTATTTGACAGAGAGAGATCACAAGTAGACAGAGAGGCAGGCAGAGAGAGAGAGAGAGAGAGAGAAGCAGGCTCCCTGCTGAGCAGAGAGCCCGATGTGGGGCTCGATCCCAGGACCCTGAGATCATGACCTGAGCCGAAGGCAGCGGCTTAACCCACTGAGCCACCCAGGCGCCCAGTTCTGTTTTTTTTAAATTTAGATTTATGGGGTGCCTGGGTGGCTCAGTAGGGTTAGGGCCTCTGCCTTCGGCTCAGGTCATGATCCAAGGGTCCTGGGATCGAGCCCCGCATCGGGCTCTCTGCTCAGCAGGGAGCCTGCTTCCCCCGCCCCTGCCTACTTGTGATCTCTGTCAAATAAATAGATAAAATCTTTAAAAAAAAAAAATTTAGATTTCTAAATCCATTATCCCAACCAGGATTTGATTTCGATGCTTAGGAAGGGGATGGAACGCACCGGTGGAGACTCCTGTCCGGGGTTTAGGACCAGCCCCGGACCTGGACTACCCTTTATTTTGTACCCGTTGTCTCCTGCACTGCCTGGACAGGAGTCAGCCACCGTGAAGGCAGGAGAGCAGGCGGTTCTGCAACGTAGCCAACAGACTTGCAAGACAACAAACTCTTTTATTTGCCATTGAAGAGCTTCGCAGGGATCCAGAGATAGGGGGCTACTCTCTAATCTGACCTCCTCGCTGGGGTAATGCCACAAAGGCTTTGTTGTTCGGTGGCTGTAGGCACGGCAGCTTCTCAAAGAAAAACAGGGTTTTCTACAAAAGATGTACGTGAGGCTGACTGGGGAGAGGGCAACTAGACTGGAAACAGTACCAGGGCACTCAGCTTCCCTAACCAAGTTCAACGTTGACACACATTTCCCTGCTGTGGAAATAGCCCAATATTAAAGAGCTCGGACCATCTGCCCTTAACTCCTTTTCAGTATCAACAAAATTTGGGAATTCTTTTCAGGAAACTAACTTTTGTTTAAGGACCAGGATGGTGATGGCAGACATTTAAGGCTGTTTATCCATCAGCTCTGTCTTCCCCTTGACTATCTTAATGGCTCCTACCTACCCAACTGGGTGAGACAGACTATCTGACTTCAGGCTACTTCCATGCCTCCCTCGAGAGGAAACACTGTGTACGTAAGTTGATGGCATGGCTCTCCACACGTTTTCCTCAGGAGTTCGCGGTCAAGGCAACGGCGACAGCTAGTCATCCACGGTGATGTTTCGGAAAAGGTACGCCATGGACTCCCCATTGTGGATTCTCCGAATCGCTTCAGAGAGAATCAGACTGATATCCACGGTCTTTATCTTGGGACACTGCAGCTTCTGCACCTCGTGAGGGACCGTGTTCGTCACCACAACCTAGTCATTGCAGTGACGGAAGATAAACACTGTTACTGATGTGTCCCCAAGACGGCCACCCAGAAAAGTCTGTCCCAGCTTTAGTTCCCACAGCCCAAGTTCCAAACTACAAAACCTTATTCCACCGAGTACAGTTTTTACAAACTAAACTTGACGGACTTTATACAAGAGAAAGGTTACATGGTTCAAAACAGAAGAGTATGAAGGTCATGTTCTACTTGGGCAGAAACAGTAGGGTGAGCCCCGGCACTGTGCAAAACTGGATGAATCCAAGTTGTGAGAGGAACGCTCCCACAGCACCAAACTACACTGAAGTATGAACCACATCCAAGTAAATAAGCTGAGCCTTTATGGAAAGAGGCATTTGTTCCTAACTACGCATTTGTCGCAACACCCTGCTAGCCACCAAGGCTACTTCCGAGGTCCTCCAGAGAGGGGGTTAGGCAACAGTGATGGGGTCATTTTACAATTCACAGAAAAGAGAGCAGCAAATTCCAGGCCCAGTAAGTGCAGACAGACCTCGTCGATGGAGGACTCCTCGATGAGGCGGGGGGCCTCCGCTGATAGGATGCCGTGAGTGGCCATGACGTAGATCTTGTAAGCACCTCTCTCTTTCAGGATCTCCGCAGCAGCAACAAAACTTTCCACATCGTCAATAATGTCATCCTGGGGAGACACCAGAGGTGGTGTTAAAGTGCTACCCCCCGTCTCTAAAACACATACCTCTCTGCTCTTCTCTGCCCGTCGTTTCAGGAGATCTCCAACTGGAAATCAGAGCCACCTGCCTGGGCCCGAGACGGAACATCAGGCAGTGGCAACAGCCGTGTGGACCACGCTTTGCGCGGCTGTCAGTACAAAGAACAGCAAAGCCTGATGGCCACGTGTGACACGCGGAGCTAGAGTTCCCAACTGCCAAGGCTCATCATCCTGTCCCGCATTTCTGATTCATCCGACATAGCTGGTGTCCCATTTACTTTTTTTCAAGACCAAGTGAGATGACAAGAACACAGAAATAAAGCAAGCCATTGTAATCAGGCCCAGCAAAGGCATTTAGGGCTGGGAGCAAACAGCTCATGCTGAAATGCAAAGAAAAGACACTTGTTCTCACTAGTGAAAACGGAACCGCTCATCTTTGGTTCCTCTTGTGGCCCTAAAGCTGAAGGTTGAGTAGATCAGTGGCTCTGATGAAACCCAGACCTCTTCAGATAAAGGTTATTTATTGGGGCTGAATTTTCTTACGGGAGATCCTGCACTTCTTTTTCCATCTGTAGGTTAAAGTAACCCCTGTTCAACTACATAAAGATTTCTACCAGTCCTGAAGGAGTTCGGGTGAGAAAGGATAGATGGATCCATTTA